CTTGATTGTATACAAAGATAATGAGCACATTAGAAATTTCAAAGTTAATCTTAAATCGGATTGGACCTAATTTATATTTGATTAAAATAATTGAATCTTGATTGAACTTATTAAACTTAAAACTTTTTTTTTCCCTTAAGATGAAGAGAACTCACCCTACCGATGAATGTAACTACCTGCTCTTTAAAATGATGTTCAACTAGCTTATTGAAATTATCATCGAATAGGGTTTTATATATCAGTAAAACTAAAGCTGGACATGGGCCGGATTGGCCCGCGGGCGACACGAGCACGATACAGTAGTGGCGTGGTACAACATGAGGAACAGGCACTAACTAGGCACGACACGAAATTTTGGCCCGCCAACACGATCCGCGGTACGGCCTGGGTTAATTAATCTTAACTAAATCCTTGTTTTTCTGAACTCTGTTCTTCATTTCATTTTCTGCACTATAATTCTTCCTCTTTTCTCCGACTCTTCTTGTCTCCGTTTCTTGTCTCTCTGCAATGACGATTCTCCCTAAATTTCCCATTTTCTCTCTCCTCCTTCTTCTTCAGCTCTTCTTCGAAGCTTCCTCTTCTTTCACTCCCACCGACCATTACCTAATCAATGCCGGTTCCGACACCCCTTTAACCTCCGACTCCGACAATCGCAAGTTTTTCAGCGACAATTCGCCACTTCCTCACTCGGTTCGACTCTCTGCATCTCGCATGTCTCCCCTCTTTAATAAATTTTTTAATTAATAATAAATCGATTTTTTAAAAAAAAAAATTAAAGGGCTGACCCATGGCCCCGGCACGACAGGCACGTGGGTCGTGCCGTGGACTAGGGTGTGCAAATTGAAGGCCGGCACGACATGGTCCGCCATCAACCAGGTGTGGCACCACACAGCCCGCGGCAGCACGACACGATTTCCAATTCTAAGTAAAACACTAAAACCTCGAGAGTAGCTAATTTATACGTAGCATTTATTTATTAATGAGAGGACAAGTAACTCCATAGCTTTTTCCTAGTTTCTACATCAGGAACAATAATTGCAAGTGGGATCCATGACAAGAAACAACAACAATATGAAGTACTGTACTATTTTCGCATTGTTAACAAATGTAGTGATATAATCTAGTCCAATTTGAAAAGGAAGTTTAGAAAATGTCGGATGTGATCATGTATATCAGTATATGTATGTACCTAATATTATGCTTTTAGACTTAGTGTTATGACAACTTTTCGAGTGGAAAGTTTAATAAAAGAGAGGATGGGTTTAAATACGTTAAACATGTATCAATAGCGAGGATGATTGAGGACTAGTTGATTACTTTAATTTACATTTGCTTTTTTAAATGCATTGATGTTCATTATTAGTGATTGATTACCTTTGTTTGTATATTACTTAATCTTATCGTCAATCCAGCTAGGATTTGTCCTTTTTTGTTTTTTTTTTTTTTAAGTTTGTAAGATATTTCCTCTGTTCTAGTAATATTGCAACAATTGGACTTTTACACTATTCATCACGCTTGTTTAACCACATATTATGATTTATACATAAAGTAAAATATAGTCATGTGGGGTCTTGTTAGATTCGTCTCGTAAAATACTTTCACAATATCAACTTTTTATAATTTTACTCTTATATAATTATAGATATTTAGCATATAAAATGTGATTTGGGATGCGTAATTTCATGCTTATTGCAATATTTTGTGGAGCAGAGGAATTAGTATAAGATGCACCAAAGGTACTTTTACTAAAACAATTTTTATATGGAGTCCTATTTTATGTTTGGTTTTTACCCAAATATTGTTTTACCAATTGTGTACTTTTTCTTGTTTAAAAAGTTTTGAGTTTGGTATACATTTTCAAAAATACAAACAAAAAAACAAGAGAGAGAAAAACAGCAACAACTAACAAACATTCCAATTTTTATTTATTTTTTTATTTTTATTTTTATTTTTTTTTTGGGGTGAAAGAGAGGGGCAAAGCCCCAAGACAAAATAAAACAAACAAAGGAAACAAAAACCAAACTAGAAACGGAAATAAAACACACAAAAAGCAGAAAAAATAAAAAAACCGAACTAAGGCTTGTTCACGGGAACCAAACGTGCCCTAGTTACTCCACACCAGTCCTCCAATAAATTGGCCCTAAGATTCCTAAGGACCGCTTCAAAGATGACCATCCTCTGATCAGTGTGAACACCATAGTTAGCTAGCCAATCCGCTGCTCAATTAGCCTCCCTATAGCAGTGACTAATAGTCACCTTCCACCCTTGACGAGAGATAAGTGTCTTGCACTTCCTTATAATGTGAATGTAAGGGGAGGTAGAAGGGCAATCTCCCACCAACAAACGAACAACAACTTCCAAGTCCACAATCAATTGAACTTGCCTATGCCCACCATTCCAAGTGAAAGCCAGCCCACGAAGCACACCAATTAGTTCAGCCTTGGTATTTGAGCACACACCACACTTAGTCGCAAATAAACCATGGAGCTCAGATCACCATCACTGCCTCTAATCAACCCTCCAACTCCAGCTAAACCCGAATTGCCTTTCGACGCACCATCGGTGTTAAGTCGAACCCATCCCTCTCTTGGAAACTTTCATTTGATAAAAATCTCATGTCTTTTTTTCATATGTTCCTCAACATAAATAATGGAGTTATCCATGGCCCTGCGAACATCATCAATTCGAGACATTAAGAAGGTCACTTGATCGAAAGGGATATCTGCCTCTCTAGCAAAGGTCTTTTCATTTCTCCACCTCCACAACCACCAGATAATCACCCCAAATGCAGTCCCCCTCTCTTCCTCCATCCAAGTATCGGATTTAATATTGTGAAGGATCCAGTTAGAGCACTCCATATTTGCATAAACCTCACTGTCCAGCCAGCCTAGCTTGCACCATATAGTTTGCAGCCTCTCAAAATATGGTCAATCGACTCATCACTGAAACCACAAATGGCACAGTAATGCAATGAATGAGGACTGTTCATCATGAGACAATGAGGACCCTACATGGACTTCTTTTACATCACTATCTGACTCTATCCTGGGGCCATTAGCAAGTTTACGAATAAACCGCATCTCATTAGTCATTAGTCTATTTCGAACAACAAGCCAAATAAAAATCCTAATGTGCTGAGGAACTCGAACTCTCCAAATATCAGTCCACCCCTTCTTTTGGGACGCATCAATCTCACCTTGATTGCGAATAATCTTGATAGCAGAGCTTAAGGTAAAACCACCCAAAGCTGACCAATTTCAGAAAATCTCATCTACCGCATCATCATCTTCAAAGACTTCATGAGCTGCGATTTCATCTAACACTTCAGCCTTTAAATAATCTGCTAAAAGCTCAAAGCGCCAGCCAGTTTCATTACTCCAGTAATCACGCACAACCTAGTCTTGGACAGAAATTGGAGGGGGTGGATCCACAAGCTCAATTAAAGGCTGCTTCGTCGCCCACCTATGTTTCCAAAACAACGTTCGATCCCCTTTCCCAATAGCCATACTCACCCCTTTCTTCAAAACATCAATGTTTTCAAGGATACCTTTCCAAGAATTCGAGGCATCCCCTTGATGTTTGAACATATCAATATCACACCGACCATCACAGTATTTGCTTCGAAGTACTCTAGACCAAAGGGAATTAGGCTCCGCAAGAACGCGCCAACCTAATTTAGTCATAAAGGCCGCATTAGCTTGTCGCATTGACCTTAACCCCAACCCACCTTCACTACGAGGCTTGATAACCGATTCCCAGGCAACCAAATGAACTTTGTTATGATCTTCATCACCTCCCCACAAAATTTTCCTTGTCTTCTTGTCAATGTCATCACAAATTGACTTGGGAAGTTTAGTCGTTTGCATCGTATAACAAGGGATAGAGAAGATGCAAGCTTGCGCCAATATTCCTGCCAGCCAAAGACAAGGTCTTAGCCTTCCAACTAACAAGTTTAGCATTGATTTTATCCATGAGGTAGAGATAATCATGCTTTGAAGATCTACTCAAAATAGTCGGCACTCCCAGATAAAGCCCAAGGTCATCAATACACTGCATATTCAAACTTTCACAAATCGAACCCTTCACTTCCGGGTTTGTATTGTCAAAGAAGAAAAATTCAAGACTTGTCGAAGCTAACTTTACTGCCAGAAGCTCTACAGGACCGATCGAGACATCCTTTCATACATAATGCTTGTTCAACTGAAGCTGCACAATAAAATTAAGTCATCCATAATCGCTTAATGAGAAATCGATGGGCCATTGCGACTAGCACGAGCCGCCTTCCAAGCTCCAAACCAAACTTCGTGCTCAATTAAATGAGCTAGTCGCTCCATACAAATCACATACAAGTATGGGTATAAAGGGTCGCCCTGGCGAATTCCCTTACTTGGAGTAAAGCTAGTAATTGGTTCTCCATTCCACAAAATTTGAAGCTTAGTCGAAGTAACACACTTCATAACCACATCAACCATTGCTTGCGGAAGTAAAAGCTCAAGAAGAGACTCTCAAATAAAGGACCATCGCAATCGATCATAGGCCTTCTCAAAATCTATCTTTACCGCCATGATCCCTTGTTTACCTTGCTTTCTTTTCATCGAATGTAGCATTTCTTGAACAATAATAATATTGTCCGTAGTTTGTCTTTTAGGGACGAAGCTACATTGAGTCGGAGAAATGAGATTAGGCAAGAGAGGCTTCAATCGATTTACAATCACCTTTGTAACAATCTTGTAGATGATGCTGCATAATCCAATTGGACGAAAATGATTCAGTTTTTGGGACACCTCCATCTTTGGAATGAGCACTAGGAAAGCATTGTTTAGGCCATCCGGGAATGATTTGCCTTCAAGAACATCTTTAACCAGAGAAACCAAATTGGGAGCAACCACATCCTAGTAGTTTTGATAAAAAAATCGGTTGAAAACCGTTAGGGCCAGGAGCTTTGAACGGTTTCATTCCCATCAATGCACGCTTGATATCGCTAGCAGCAAAAGGTTTGTTCACCATGTCCCAGTCCTTTTCTCAATGAATGGAAATTGATCAGTCAGTAAACGTTCCCCTGTAAAAGGCTTCGCTTCTTCCTGGAATAAGTTGCGCCGATAATCAAGAACTAAACTCTTAACCTGTTCTGGATAAGTTAGCCAAACACCTTGCGAATTTTGAAGAGTTTCAATTCTTTTGCGCCGCCTTCGAATGAGGGTGGAAAGATGAAAATATTTGGTATTTTGATCCCCATCTCTAATAGAATCAATGCGTGATTTTTGAAACCACAAAATCTCCTCTTGATTAAGCACATCATCCATCTCTCTACAAAGTGTAGCCTCTAATTTCAAAAGATATCTATCATTCCCAGTCGAAAGACGCTTTTGGATTCCTTCCAATCTCGCCCAAAGCTCCGATTTTTTTCGAAAAATGTTGTGCAAGGTGTCTCTGTTCCAAGTGTTCAAAATATCCGCAAATTTGCTAAGGAAGGGAATAATTGGAGCAGTTTTATCCCACTTTGATCGAACAAGGGCATCAAATTTCTCATGGCTCACCAAGCCGCTTGAAACCAGAACGGCTTCAACGAGGCCGGAGTTGGAGAAAAACCCGTAGTGCTGATGAGAATAGGGCAATGATCGCTATGGGATTTAGGCAGATTTCTCAAAGCTCCTTCACCTAAACGCAACAACCAAGCTTCATTAATTAAACCTCTATCTAACCGGGCTGATTTGAAGGTATCAGGTGAGTTGCCTCTAAACCAAGTATGCTCTGGGCCAGAGCATTGCAAGTCAATCAAATTATTTCTATCAATCCAATTCGCAAAGTCACGACAACGACGCTCCATCTCAGAATAGCTCCATTTCTCTCACTCAAGCTCTTTGTATCATTGAAGTCTCCAGCTATCAACCACAGTCTTGAGTAATTATGTTTGATGTTTTCAAGCGCATCCCAAAGTTGATGTTTAAGAGCACTCTGCGGGCTGGCATACACGGCAGAAAACAACCAAGGATCCTCACCAAGTTTTCTAATTTCAACTGTCAGATGCTGATTATGACTCTCGTATATAACCACATCAACTTCATCAGTTCTCCAAAAAATCCATATACCCGCAGCAAAACCTTGAGCTTCCACACGCATTTAACCCGGAAAATTAATTTTATTGCACACTTGTTGAGCTTGATTCCTACTCACATGGGTTTCAACCAACACAAGAACAGAAGGACGATTAATTCTAATCAATTCACGAATTATAGACAATTTGTTCCCAACACCTTGGACATTCCATATCATGATTTTAATTGACATATTAAAACTTGGAAAAAGAGGGTAACAATCTTACTACAAACATTGCAATTTGATGTGCAGAATATATCTTTTTTAAGTGTAGCAGTTTGATAAGTACTCATATAAAGTATTAGGATGTACATTATATCTTTTTTAAGTGTAGCAATTCACTTAAGGGGATTTGTTAAACATCGCCCACAAATCTCTACATAACGCCCACAATTATTTTTATTTTGACGCTTTTGCCCTTTTTCTAATTTTTACCCAAAACATAATACTCTATCACGAAAAATGTAGAGTAGGACTGGATCGCCGAGGGACACCGGAGAGCCGTCATCATTGCCGGAAAGCGAGGTACTTTTCGCTAAAAAACTACGAAATGCCGGCCGTGGTAGTGGCGTCTGGCAGGGGTGCCACAGTCATGGTGACGGTGTTCCAGCCAGGCGCCACCACCACGGTGGCGGCATCCCCGCCAGACGCCACCCAACAATTCGTAATTTTTTTTATTATTTTATTTAAAGTTTTTGTTTTGTTTTTTTTTTTTTGGTTTTTTAACTTTGATCCTAATTTGAAATTAAATATTTGTTAATAATTTCAAACAAAAAAAATTATGTGTTAATTTTGTATGAATACTTTTATACATAATTATGTGTTAATTTTCTGTTAAATTTAGAAATTAATTATGTGTTAATTTTGAAATTAAATGTAATTTAATTTAGAAATTAATAATGTGTAGATTTTGAAATTAAATTTACAAATAAAAATTTTAGAAATTACTTATGTGTTAATTTTGTGATAAATGTATTAATTTAATATTTATATAATTCTATGTATTTAAAAATAATATGTCATTGTTGCAAGATTATGGTGGAGACGGAAATGATTATAGTGGGATTTTTGTACATGATGGTCCCTTCGAAGATGCTCAACAAAGCAATTGATTAGGCAAAACAGGTTACAATTAAATCTGGTTTTTGTTTAGTAGTAGCAACTCATAAATCTCAATGGGATGGTAGAATGGATCGCATTTTGAGATGCGACTGTTATCGCAAAAGGGAGGAACGAGATTTCAGTACAGCTATTCGGTTTGATACAAAGCGGAAAGGTTGTGGGTGTGAGTTCAGAGTAAAGGTTCGACAACACCAAAGTTGTGACGGTTGGGAAGTGAAGGGTTACTCTAAATGGGGGTATCACAACCATGAGATGATGGTATATCAAGTCGGTCATCGACAGTTAAGCGGCCTAAGTCCTGCTGCAAAACTAGTTGTCAAAGAAATGAGTGATGCTTAAGTGAAGCCTGCTAAAATATTAGCATTTGTGTTAGAGAAATTTCCTGAAAACCAGCCAAACCGAAGACACATCTACAACGTCAGAAGGAAACTGAGGTTTGAACGGTCAGAGGGAAAGAACCCTATACACCAGCTTCTACACCAAGCACAAGCACGTGGTTACCTGTCCTGCTCTAATTCTGATGCAGAGACATTCGAGGTGACTCATTTATTCCTTGTGCATCATGAAAGTGCTAGTATGATCAAGTCTTGGCCATCTGTGATTTTGATCGATTCAACATACAAGACAAGCAAGCACAAGTTCCCACTAGTTGAAATGATTGGAATTGCTCCAACGAACCAGAACTTTATGATTGGTTATGCAGTCATCAAGGATGAGACGGCTGTGAGTTATTATTGGGTGTTGGAGAAGTTAAGAAACTACATCGGCCCTAATGTTCAGCCATCAGCCATCGTCAGTGATTGTGAGGGAGGTCTCTTTGCCCCTATAGTGGAGTTGTTTCCAGAATCGAAGCATCTATTGTGCACATGGCACATTAACAACTGTGTGAAAGCCAAAGCCTACCTCATTTCAACAAGAATTTACATTCAGCAGAGAGATTGCTAAATGGTAAGTGGCGGAAGATCCTGCAAGCTACCATAGAGGCAGAGTACGATCGAGCCTTGGATAACTTCAAGGATGCGTATCAATGGTGTCTGGCAGTGGTAAACTATGTGATGCAGCAGTGGATACCTCACAGGGAAAAGTTTATCAAATATTGGACAAACCAATTTCTTCTTTTGGACATACTAATTAGTATTTGCGTGTTACAAACTAAAAAGATAATATCAAATTTTACAAACAAAATGATAATGTCAAATATTACAAACTAAAACGATAATGTCGGATTTTACAAACTACTATGATAATGTACAAAATGTTCTATAAATAAACTGCCAACATATCAGTAATCCCTCTTTGACGCCCGCTCCCACTGCGCAAGGGCCCGTTCCATATTATCACTAACAGCTCCGCCTGATACAGTCCTCATGTTATCCCTCTCCTGAAAGAGTCTCTGTCCCAGTTGCATCATCTTTCCCATCCACTACACATAACAAAAAAACATGAAATTCAATAACGATATATAATAATAAAAAAAAAAACACAAAAAAAAACACACAACAATAAATGTTTTATGAAACATTCTGCATCCACGGCAGTGGGCGGTGGCACATCATCATCATCTGCGTCGTCATCATGGTGGAGGTCTCTGATCAACCTTAGGTGCGAATACCGGTTGTACCATTCCATGTAGTGGTGGTCACACATGGGAGGCACCCCAGTTGGCGGCCTCTGCAGCTCCGCAGTCCATAGGCGGGCGACCATCGAAACTGCTCCCATGTGGTAATCATGCTTTCCGGCCATTGGACGATGTAATCCTTCGATGACGCAGATCGGACCGCCTTAATGGGCCGTGCTGGTGGAGGAGGGACAACTTGGACAAATCCACGCTGACGGAGACAACGCTGGGGCATGTACGCCTCTATGATCTCACGATACTGAATCAGTCTCGTGTAGAGGGTTCTGGGTACCCTATTAGTTTACTAGGGTTCTGGCCGAAAGGCATCCAGTTCACTTGCACATTTTTTCAAATTAGTAAGATTTATATAATAAATGCATCACAATATAAAATTAGAAATAATTTATACACTTTACCTCTAAGGGGGACATCCTGTCAAGCAATAACTGTATCGATTGGAGGCGGTCAACTTCTTCTTGAACCGCGGACTCCACACATAGGCACGTGACATCCCATCACCAATAGGAACCGGGTCACGGTGTGGTCGAAATGCAGGTTAATACTCGTATATCCAGGTCTGTAATAAAGTAAGACATCTAGTGATACCTACAGCGTCAGCCCGACTCGAGAATCCTAATTGGCGATACAAATACGCCAACGTAGCCGACCCCCAAGAAAACTGGCCTACTCTGTCGGGCTCACACGCGTCAACTATGTCGCGTGGCCTGAGCTTGTTTCCGCTCTTATCCGAAAACAAGGTACACCCGAGGAGAAGAAAAACATATGCAGCCAGTTGTGTGTCCATGCGTCCTACGTGCAATGGGGTGCAAACAAAGCTGCAAAACGGATACGGTCTTCACACCGCCATGATCCCAAACACCAAGCGCCCCAGTGTACAGCGCAGCCCTGTCCACCCCCAACAGCTCCGCCAGTAAATCTGTTTGATCTGCATCAGTCACAACAGAAAGTCGTTTTCCCTCTGCGCGAATCCCAAGGATGGCCTCGGGTCATGCAACATAATCGTCATCTCACCGAACGGAAGGTGGAAAGAGTTCGTATCCAGCTGCCATCGCTCAACGAAAGTCGTGATTAGCGTTGCGTCAATCTTATCGTGCATGGTGGCAGGAAGGTGACTTACTCTAGTGCCCTGCAATCGGCCGAACATCTCGTTCTCCTTCGGCCAAGTCTCAGCCCATCTACACAAAAAGTTACAAGCCCTTTCCCGGGTTTGGCATTTCAAAATGCCCATATCCAAAGCCCTCTCCTAGTACTCCCAGATACGGGTAGCTATGTATCCTAGAAAGATAGGAATCACACTCCCGTCTACAGGTCCCCCAGCCACCTCACCCTTCACCACCCAAGAATCATTAACGGCCCTCAATTGCTTTCTGCTTACCGTAGACACAGTGGACGCAGATGATGTGCCAGATCTACTAACAAATCCACCATCTCTACCCTTACGCACATCTACCCTATGTGTCTCATACATATCATCAAGCCTCTGGCTGAATGGACCGTAATCATCATATGGTCCACTCTGATCGTCCATCCTAAGCACCACATCCTCATCTACGTCCTCTCCTCCTCCTCCGCCTCTTCCTCATCACCATCATCATCTTCATCCTCCTCAGGATGGTGAATCCGTTCTCTGCGAGCCGAGGCCGAAATACCACGAGATCTAACGTGTCTAGGCCCCGAGCTCTCCATTGATTAGTTTCTACTTCTAATAACGTCCATACTCTTCCCCGCACCAGGTCGAAAATGCGATACCTAACTCCATTTAAATAACGAAAAATAATAGCAATTGTTATTATTATTATTATTTATATTAATAATCTATTTTTTTTAAGTACAAACAACAAAGACTAGAATTAACTAACCAAAAAAAATATCAAATAATAAAAAAAATAGGAACAAATTCACATAAAAAAATTTACAAAAAACTGAAAAGAAATATAAACAAAAAAAATACATAAAAATGGAAAAAAAAAAAAAAAAAATTAAAAAAAAATATAAACATAAAAAAAATTAAAAAATATAATAAAAAAATACAACAGAATTGAAAAAAAAACATAAATAAACAAAAAATATATATAAATAATTGAAAAATAAATATAAACATAAACAAAAAAAATCTGAAAAAAATAAAAAAAAAAAATATAAACATAAAAAAATTTAAAAAAAAATACAACAAATTTGAAAAAAAAATCTGAAAAAAAAATTACAAAAAACTGAAAAAAATAAACATAAACAAAAAAATTTAAAAAAAAAAAAAAACTAGTTGGCGTCCCAGCTAGACGCCGACCCCACGTCGGCGGCGACTGGGAAGGACCCTAAGGCCACGGCGGCGGCGCCCATGCAAGACGTTACCACCGTGTCCCTAGCGTCCCGCTCAGCCGATGTAGCCGTGGGGCTGGCGTCCTAGCCAGACGCCCCACCGCTTCGAGGTTTGTTTTTTATTTTTTATTTTTCAAATAAAAAATACCTTTCCACCGTGTGACCGCCTTTCCTCCACCTCCGCTGCCGCCAATTCCTTGCTTTGCCGCCTCGACATTGTAGTTTGAAGATTTTTTTTAGAGAGAGGTGATAAGAGAGTAGAGAGTAGAGAGAAGATGAGAGTGTGTGTGATTTTTTATTTTTTATTTTTTTTACATATAAGGTCAAAAGTGTCAATTCAACTAAAATTTGTGGGATTTATGTAGAGATTTACGGGCGATATTTAGCAATTCACTTAAGATGCTAGTGGGATTAGTAGTTTAATAAAAATTTTATAAGAAAATATATATGGTTAAAATTATTAAAAAGTAAGGGGTATAAGAGGAGATAAAAAGTGTATTAGGATTTATTTAAGTGTAGAGTTTTTGTTTTACAAAAAAAAAAAAAAAAAAAAAAAAGGAAAAAAAATCAGTGAAATTTTTTACTTGCTAATTAGAGCTTTACTATTTACTCCACATTCCATAATCATTGACATTATGTTAAGCACTCCTTCAATATTTTGTTTTTTAAGTGTTCTATTTTGACCGATTTTTTACATACTCCACTATATTAATTTAAACATAAGATAAAACAACATACAGTAGGCACCTGATCGTGTCTCCCCAAACACCAAATCCAGTGATAAGTACCTTTCGCGTTTTGATTAACGAGTTTGGCAAAGAGTTGAAAAGTCATGCAAAGTATCCTTAAGCCTTAACCATTTTTTCTAACCTTACCCAAAATGTTTTATTCCAAAAATATTCATTTCGTGTCTTTAAATCTAAAAACATTCATTCCGTGTCCTTAAATCTAAAAACATTCATTTCGTGTCCTTAAAACATTCATTTCGTGCCTATAACCATAAAAAACGTCCAACCTGATAATTTTGGTCCATTTTCTCAGTCCAATTATTGTTTGGTTGGATGAGGCATGAAAAGAGCTTTCCAACGATATATTATAAACCCAAATCCGACTTAAAATGAGTGAGATATGGCCAAAATACGCAAATTTTAAGGTGCACCATGGTGCACCTATTTCTAAGTGCACCATGTCTATAATTTGAACATTTAGTTTAAATATTTGAACAATCGCAAATTTTTAACTAAGTGAAACATCAAGTAAAAATATGTTCTCTCTTTTAAGTAAAAATATATCAAGTAAAAATAAGTGAAACATCAAGTAAAAATATATTTCTAAGTGCACCACCTCAATTGGGATTTAATATATGAACATTTAGTATATTTCAAATGAACATTTAGTACATTATAATGAACATAAAAGAATTTATAATAAATTAATATAATCTATTTTTCGTTAACAATTATATAAATAAAGTTTAAAACTATAGTTTCTGAAAAAGAACATATAAAATATGAATATGACACTGTTAGAATTTGAACATATAATTTTTGAAAATAAACATTGAAATTTTCAAATATAATCATTACACTATTTTATAATGAGCATCAATATATATGAATATGAAAATACTCGAATTTGAACATCTATTATTTGAAAATAAATATTGAAATTGAAATATGAACATAACACTATTTTATGATGAACAACAATTTTTTGAAAGAAGTTTACTGGCTTAGGATAATTCAATAGTTTTGTAATATAACTGAATATTTATTGCATATAAATTGAACATTACGTTATAAAATATGAACATATAAAATTGGATGTTCATGTTCATTTTTTGTGACGTGTTCAAATTTTTTTACAAAATGTTCATTTTTTTGCAAAGTGTTCAGAATTTTTTACTAAATGTTTATATTATATTCGTGGTGCACCTAATTCTAAGTGCACTATGGTGCACATAATAACTATTGGCCAAAATACTAAACCGAGCCCAAAACGAGCCTAGGCCATCCTTTAGTACAACCCAATGATTATATGGAGTCCAAGTATTTTATAGAGGCCCCATATGATCATATTCCTAACCCAAGTCAGCTAGAATCTTCTAAAAGGTTCTAATCTATCCTTCCCGAAAAGATAAAGGTCAAGAATTTGAGATTAAATAGAACTCTTATGATAATCCTTAATTTTTCAGAAGATGTTCGGATATATTTTGCATAGAAATCCCATCAGAATCCAAACTTCGTACGAACTTCGCTATCTTATGAAGCATCGCACATCGACAGGTTCATCGCGCCGCGATAATCCTGTCACGATGCGACAAAGGCCATCGCTACGCGACAAGCTTGTCCTGGCGCGACAAGAAGTTTTATCATAGTTAGAATTTCTGATCTTCTTCCGATCGTTCGACTCTCTTTTTTCCCTATAAAAAATAGAGGTCGTTTTTCCTGATTCCAGATCAACGGGAAACAACATACAAAAAAACATCAATAACACACGACAAGAATTCGAGAGAGAATTCCTAAACCCATGTCCTTAGCCTAAACACATCTTAGATACATCCCAATCACTCACCATACTTCCTTTGCGTGATTCGAATACTCTCAAACCATACTCGACGTTGTCTTCGACCTTGACGTGAAAGGTTGATATTTCTGAGGGTTTAGACCCAAATCTATAGTACTATTCCTATATAATTTAGTTTATTATTTAGTTTATTGATTTTAATTTCTTGAAGTTTACTAACGTGTGTATTGTTCTTTATAGCAAGAAAGTCGAAGCATCAAAGTAAGTAATTTAATTACTTTTGAATAGAAATCATGTTTAGGATAACGCTTTGATTTTTTTATTAGTAACATGCAAGGATTGTTATTAATCTGTTTGGTATCATGTCTAGGATCTTACTACTTACGATGTTCTTATGATGATAATTATGTTAATTATATGTCGCTTAATTATTAATGATTTATTGTCATTGTTTGATCACGCCCCTTTTTTGCAGGTTTAAAGGGAATTTGTAATTGAAATCACGCCTAATAAGATAATTAATAATTGGATTTAGGTTTAACATGATTTTAATTCAAGTGATCACCAATATTAGATTTAATTGTGCATTAATAATCAACCAACATAGATTAAACAGGTTTAGAATTAATTTGATGTATGTATGTTGATCGAAAAGCGCGCATGAATATCAATAAGAATCAAGTAGAGGCCTATTTTAGGGCGGGTTAAAACTCTTATGAAAGTCAAATTCGTACCATCATCCCTGAATATCCAGTCATGGTTCCAGACCACTATAGAGTTAGCAATCTCTGTGATTGTGAATGGGGTGTAACCTTCACAATCGTGAACGGTTTACAAGTTCCTAAAACCTGTTGGCGACTCTTTTTCTCTAACTTCTTTTCCTTGAAGCACCGGCATGCCTAAAAACATAACCCACAATAGGGTGAGACAAAAATTCCCTACACATAGTTATTTAGGCTTTTTTTTTTTTTTTTTTTTTTATAAAAAAAATCAATGTATAAATCATGATTATTGACATTATTATAATCTAAATATATTGATTATTGGAGATATTTTGCAAATGTCAACTGGTTTAGTTGATTAAAATCTTAAAATTGATACATCAGTCAAATTTATTATTAGAATCAATCAAATTAGGGCATTTACAAAAAACGAAAAGAGGTACTTTTAAAAAATAAATTATGCCCTTGTTCGTTATAGAGGACTACAAATTAAAGTACAACGTTGATAAGATATACTCAAACAATTTTTACTAGACCTTGCATGATCATAAATTTTCAAGTATACATTACAACTATTAATACCCGAGTAATGCTCGAATTTTAATACAAAGTACATGGTTAAATAAATTGGAATTAATATTAAGAGCTATTCAACTTTTTTTTTTTTTTTTTTTTTTTGAAAGTAAGAGCTATTCAACGTAGGAAACACTTTGTTGTTCATACCATATAGCTGACAAAATTTTAACTCACCGTTAATCACATATTGATTAAAAAAAAGTAAAGGAAAATTGTTTTTGCATTAAAATATAACTATAGCTTGATACATTTTGAAGAAAATTTAAAACCCACGTGGAAATTATTTATCATTTACTTCACCATTAGCCCATCTCTGTTGTTGTCTAGAAAATCATCTAGTAAAACTGTTATACCAAGTGGCACGGTCATGTACTCATGAATTCTCTTATTATGTGATTAATCTTAATCTTTCTTTCAAGGAAAAAAAAAAGTGGCACAATGGTCCTCTCACAAAGAAAAAAAAAAAGAGATTTTTGGAATTTAATTTTAAAAATAAATCAATTTATAGTTTTTGATTGGTCAAAAGGTAGGATTTTATACCACGTGGCTCGTACAATGGTGTAGGTGATATTTTTCGGCTTTTATATCATCTTCAATTTTTATCTCCAATGAACCGAGTCTAATTTATACTATTGATTGTTGTAATATTTTTTTTTTTGATGATTTAAGTTTTATGTCCATAAGGAGATTATTTGAGTACGGATTAAGTATTATTATAAGGATATCTTCCATGCAATCAACAACGAATAACTTTCTATTTTCTATCATGTTGTATGGGAATAATCAAGTGCACGCTACTTCATGAAGCATACACCGCATCTAACAAGACAGCATGCTTTGCTTCCTTTCATGTTACCAAATAGGCAATATTCATAGATGCATCAACCATGGAAAAGCAAGAGAGGGGGGACGTAGAGTGTTCAAACACAGGTCATACTAGGGGACGCCGAGGGGTTCAAACACTAAAATACAGGCTAGGTGGGGGTGGGGGGGGGGGGGCGAGGTGTTCTAAACACATGCCAGTATATGCCACACTAGTACAATGTAATAATACAGTACATCAATGAACATTTCTTGTTACTATTTACATTTTCCATCTGTACTCGACACTGTCTTCCCCTTCCTCTCAGATCCAACATCGGCAGGAATGATCAGGTTGTCAAAAAGTTTACTACCCAAAGATTGCTCCATCATAAACATGTTTAGCACATCCTCTGGCCTTTGATACGTGGTTGCACTTAAGTTGAATTCATCTTGGGATTTCGACACAGACCTCAGCCTTTGTATCTCTAATTGTGTAGAGCTCAACTCCTTCTCAAGTTTAGCTAATTTAGTCTCAAACTCCTCCACCTTACCCTTATGTGAGTCGGCCTTTTTTCCTTGTACTGATCGTGAAACAATATCAATTATCGGACCACCCCCTACACATGAAACAACACATACTGAGCAATCTAACAGTAATGATTTAGAGTAGTCTACTTGTATAGTTGTATGTGAGGTTTCATGACTATCAATTAAAAACTTAAATCAATTGGGGCCGCTCTTTTGTCGGTTAGCCATCACTTCTGCAGCGGCTAATTTCCTACATTTGGACATTGGTTAGTACAATTGAAGCTCAGGTTAGTCTTGAAAGCTATTTTGTACTCAGTGCAAGAAATGAGACCGGAGAGTGAAAACTACCCTTTCACAAGATTGTTAAGCTTCAATTGTGTGAAAACGAAAACAAAAGCATAACTTTAATTCCCTAAACTCCTGTCAGCTAGACTTCCTGCACAACTTCCCTTAGAGAAGTAAAGAGATCAGGTCAAGCACTTTACACCAAAATACAGAGCTAACTAGTTGCTTGCACTGTCACACACATAACAGCCAAAAGTTGTCTCATACAGTAATACCATAAGTCCATAAGCATTGCAAATATCAGTTTTCCAAGCTAATCCATCAACTTAGCAAAATTGCAACTCAAAAAATAGCTTTTAGAGTTTTATTTAACAATGGTCTATGGAAACCATCGCAGAAATGTTTACCTATGTGAACAGTTGTATACCAGCAGTTCCCAACAAATAACTTGCTCATTGCTCGTGCTTGTTCGTAGCTCGTCTACTTTTGACCAAACTTTTAATGCATGATAAAAGTGATGAGTACATCCAGATTACCTTATATAGATAAGTAGATAACTACTCCCTCCCGTTCCTAATTGTTGGATACATTTTGAATCTTTTAGTGGGAGAAAAGTACCTAACGTCTTATTCCTAACTATACAAACTTATTCATTCACATTATCAATCTTTTAGTGTAAACCAACAATAAAAAGTACCTAACATCTTATTCCTAACTATACAAACTTATTCATTCACATTATCAATCTATACTTGAAACTTGCTACAATTATCAAATTGACGAAAAGATTAATACCCACAAATTGCTCCACCACTAAAGATCTTCAGTACATCCACTATCATTCAATTCAAAGTTTGCACCAACAACTTGGTATCTTTGATTAAAGAGCTATTCTCGTAGAGCTTAACTTGTTTTCCGATTTAGCTACTTTAGTCTCCAATTTCTCTACTCTTTCCTCAAGAGAATTGGCCTTTTTTTCACTGATTGTGTAATCAAATCAATAACTGAACCATCCCATACATATTAAAAAGAACTCCTAATGTATTACTAAATCGTCACTGAAGAGGAATTCATCAAATTTCAAAATTCCAATCTATAGAGGCCTAACTTCAGTTGGTTAGTCAGCTCACCTCTTTCTCGGCTAGCTAATTTTCTACATTTGGAAACAGTTAAGTAGAATTGAGGTTCGTTATTCTTTTCAAGGAAGCTGTTTTGTACATGGAGCTCAGAAGAGAGTATTTTACAAAGTGCACTTCAATAAATTTATTAAGCTTCTATTGACGGGAAAAAAAAATGAAAACAAAGGCATCATTTTGAATTCCTTAGACTTCCTTTCTGCTAAATTTCCACTCCTAGAAGTTTTACCATGTTTTGAAATCGATTTCAGAACTTACTCATCTGTTAAATAACAGTTCAAAAGTGAAGGTAATGAAGGAGTAATAAAAAGCAAAAACGTTTAGTTATGAAATCCATTTATGCAGTTCAAAGATAATAATGAAAATCAAAGGTATGTTCCGATTTACTGAAAACAACTGAACTGAAGTGAACTGAACTATAGTGCTGAAATGAATTGTTTATGAGAGAAGAAAATTAAGAGCCGAACTGAACCTGAAGTGATTGGAGCTGAACTGAACTGAATTGAAGTGAAATGAACTTAAGCTGAACTGAACAGGCCCTAAGTAGTACTATCAATTTAAGAAAGTCAATACCACAAATAGAAAGACATTATTCCTTCCGTTTCATAATATTAGTCCCATATACTATTTTGGGCGTTTCAAAAATATCTACCCATATTGAATATGTTTCATTTTTAACTTTATTTTGTTGAAATTAATTTGTTGTGGAATGATGACATGACTCTAAACTTCCGTGGTTAATCTTTTATTATGCATCTATATCATATCTGTTTCGGGGTTTTTTGGATGTCCTACGGGAGAGTTACAACCCCAAGACTAACCTCTGGACGCCTGTACCTGCAAAACAACGGAGACTCCTGTGGGTGGGAGTTCCGCCTCCGACAATCAAGTTAGAACGTGTTCGGAAGTAAAGATGCGGAAAGTAAAGGGGATCAGGCTCCTCTTGAACGGGGAGTGATCATCCGACTGTCTGAGACAGTCTCAATATCCGAGTCTTAGCTTTCAAAGAGTTCAATTAATGATGGGGTTAATACACAGCAATTAATGTACACGTGTGTTTTTGGAATATCTGAATGATGTTCCTTAGAGGGAACATCTTCCTTTTATAGGGTCTTGAAATGTGTGTCCAGTACTAGGTTTTCAGAAACTTAGGACTGACTAGGCTTGCCTAGGTATTTGGGCCCTTAAAGACCACTTTCCTAGTTGGCATTCTGCCTGCCACGTGTCGTGGCCTGATTGGTCCACCTTGGACTTCTCACAAGGTGACACGTGGCGGGCTCTGGTTGGTCCACGTGGATGACACGTGGCAGAGTTTAATTGGTCCACGTGGCAGGAGAAATCAAGTGCACGCTACTTGTATAGTTGTATGTGAGGTTTCATGACTATCAATTAAAAATTTAAATCAATTGGGGCCGCTCTTTTGTCGGCTGGCCATCTCTTCTGCAGCGGCTAATTTTCTACAATTGAAGCTCAGGTTAGTCTTGAAAGCTGTTTTGTAATCGGTGCATAGAAATGAGACCGGAGAGTGAAAACTACCCTTTCACAAGATTGTTAAGCTTCAATTGTGTGAAAACGAAAACAAAAGCATAACTTTAATTCCCTAAACTCCTGTCAGCTAGACTTCCTGCACAACTTCCCTTAGAGAAGTAAAGAGATCAGGTCAAGCACTTTACACCAAAATACAGAGCTAACTAGTTGCTTGCACTGTCACACACATAACAGCCAAAAGTTGTCTCATACAGTAATACCATAAGTCCATAAGCATTGCAAATATCAGTTTTCCAAGCTAATCCATCAACTTAGCAAAATTGCAACTCAAAAAATAGCTTTTAGAGTTTTATTTAACAATGGTCTATGGAAACCATCGCAGAAATGTTTACCTATGTGAACAGTTGTATACCAGCAGTTCCCAACAAATAACTTGCTCATTGCTCGTGCTTGTTCGTAGCTCGTCTACTTTTGACCAAACTTTTAATGCATGATAAAAGTGATGAGTACATCCAGATTACCTTATATAGATAAGTAGATAACTACTCCCTCCCGTTCCTAATTGTTGGATACATTTTGAATCATTTAGTGGGAGAAAAATAGTCAAGTGTAAACCAACAATAAAAAGTATCTAACGTCTTATTCCTAACTATACAAACTTATTCATTCACATTATCAATCTATACTTGAAACTTGCTACAATGACCAAATTGACGAAAAGATTAATACCCACAAATTGCTCCACCACTAAATCATTAAATTCAAAGTTTGCACCAACAACTTGGTATCTTTGATTAAAGAGCTATTCTCCTAGAGCTTAACTTGTTTTCCGATTTAGCTACTTTAGTCTCCAATTTCTCTACTCTTTCCTTAAGAGAATTGGCCCTTTTTTTCACTGATTGTGTAATCAAATCAATAACTGAACCATCCCATACATATTAAAAGAACTCCTAATGTATTACTAAATCATCACTGAACAGGAATTCATCAAATTCCAAAATTCCAATCTATAGAGGCCTAACTTCAGTTGGTTAGTCAGCTCACCTCTTTCTCGCCTAGCTAATTCTCTACATTTGGAAACAGTTAAGTAGAATTGAGGTTCGTTATTCTTTTCAAGGAAGCTGTTTTTTACATGGAGCTCAGAAGAGAGTATTTTACAAAGTGCACTTCATTAAATTTATTAAGCTTCTATTGACGGGAAAAAAATGAAAACAAAGGCATCATTTTGAATTCCTTAGACTTCCTTTCTGTTAAATTTCCACTCCTAGAAGTTTTACCATGTTTTGAAATCGATTTCAGAACTTACTCATCTGTTAAATAACAGTTCAAAAGTGAAGGTACGGAAGGAGTAATAAAAAGCAAAAATATGAAATCCATTTATGCAGTTCAAAGATAATAATGGAAAATTAAAGGCCTGTTCTGATTTACCGAAAACAACTGAACTGAACTGATTGAGGCTGAACTGAACTGAATTGAATAGAGCTGAATGAATTGTTTATGAGAGAAGGAAATTAAGAACTGAACTGAAGTGAAGTGATTGGAGCTGAAAACTGAAGTGAAATGAAATATAGCTGAACTGAATAGGCCCTAAGTAGTACTATCAAATTAAGAAAGTCAATGCCACAAATAGAAAGACAATACTCCCTCAGTTTCATAATGTTAGTCCCATATACTATTTTGGGCGTTTCAAAAAGATTTACCCATATTGAATATGTTTCATTTTTAACTTAATTTTTTTGGAATTACTTGGTTGTGGATTGATGACATGACTCTAAACTTCTGTGGTTAATCTTTTATTATGCATCTATATCATATTCATTATTGCAAAGTGCTACACACTTTTCCAGTCAAATTCTTTACACAATACTACTTATCCAGCCAAAGTAATTCTGCTTGCTACTAGTGGTTTATTTTTTTTTTTTTTTTGGAATAGGTTGCTACTAGTTTAACTCTTGAGTGAGTTGAGTCTTGACCCAAATTTAGTAGTAACTCTAGTAAGAAACGTCATTCATATTTAACAAAACCTTTGAAACGTGCCAAAAATCGATGAGAAAAACCACCCGAATATACCTGCAAAAGACTTTAAGACTCATTTTGGTTCAACTTATCTGAAATATGTAATTTAATTTTGTCCGGAATTTTCTACAAAAAATACCGTAAAATTTTGATTTTTTGACAGTCACATGACTCACAAGTCACAACTAACTCTCGTGCTATTCCTAGATTTAATAGCTCTGCAAAATAAAACTTCATAAGGTGCTCCTGACTGTGAAATCAATATTATCACTCCCAATAACTCTGACTCCAAAAGTTTTCAATAATAAATTCCCAATGACAGCAAGATTTCACCAAGGAGAAAAACCCACACCAATTCTATAAATTCCCAAATTATGAGGCTATAGCATACACCATTATTGCCACAATCTACATCAACTAAAATCAAACTTTATCTTTTGTGTTTAGTTCAATCATGCGGATCATCTCATGCCTCAGTTTTTCTTTGTAGAGTACTAGAGTGTTAAACTATGCATCCTTAATTAAATTGACCAATGTTACTCGGACTCTTTATTTCACCTCAAGTACCTGTGTCAAACCCTCGGCATTTGGAAGTGGTTAAAATAATTAGACACTTCATTTTAGTTCAAAACCATGAAAATTGTTCACAAAATGGCTAAGTCGGACAATTGGACACTACCCGTGTTGGACATGGGTACCCGAGTCCAAGTAGCATAGAAATTGACCCTAATCATATGACTTAACCTTGAAACCAATTTCACTTTAATAGTCATTGAATTATCACTAGTTCATAACCAAGTTCATGATAGACTCATTACAGTTAACATGCAATTATCAGGTGTAATGTTTTAAAAATTTAAACCCTTAAAAACATCAATATTATTACCCGAACTTGGGTACTAGACCTACTCCTGTAACACAATTAAGAACTTTCTATGATTTTGGTCCAAAATGAAGTGTCAAAGTGTTCATACCCATGTCGAATGGCCGAAGATTCAACACGCGTTCAATTACTATAAAATAAATGTATAATTACTTAGAAAAAACTTACCCTAAACCATTAATCAAACAGCATTAATCTACTAAAAACAATTTTTTAAGCAGAAATTTGCAGAAGATTAACAAAAAAAAAAAACAACTATCAATATACTATACTTTAAACTAAAACGACATATGATCAAGAAATTTAATTATTAGCAACAGAAATTCCAAAAAAAGAAAATAAAAGAGCAGGAATATACCATATGATCGGGCGATATAAAGGGCGCTGTTTTTGGAGACATTGAGGGCAAAACTGCTAAGGTTGTCGCGAACTTGATCATCGGACAAGTACCCGTGAAAGTCCCGTGCTTTAGAGGCGGCGGCGGCGGCGACAGGAACGGTAGAATCACGAAAAAAACCGTAGGTTTTCCGGCAGATATCTGTCGCCGGCGTTATGTCAGGAGTGTTCTGTTTGACGGCATCAATGGGTGAATAAATCCACTGCCAAATTCCCATTCTTCACTGTTTGTTGTTCTCTGCTTTCTTACTTATCAACTACCGTAACTCCGTAAGTACTCTATGACGAGTTTATTCATCTTTGAGTCAAAAGACAGTCATAGTTTATACTTTTGCCTTTTTGTTTTGTCGGGAGTACTTTTTTTTTGCCTCGTTTCAAACTAGATAATTTCTAAGCCAGGCTCGATTTTAAAAATTGTTGGTAATTTAAATTAAAATATAGTATCTAGATGTAATTGAAAAAGCTCCTAGGCTAATAAATAATTCTACAAAAATCTAAAAGAAAAAAAAAAATAAGTAGAATTTAGGAGGGAAAATTTTCTCCAAAAAAACCTCTACTTTAGTATAGGTATAGGTATATAGATATTTTGGTCAAACCTTTTAAAAGGAAGAAGTTCCAATTCACTTCGTATCTCTTTAATAAATAATATTCCTTTTGTAGTAATTGCAATACTAGAATATCTATCAAGTTTTCAGAAAAATTATAAGGTGGGAAACCAATATAAGATATTTTATATACTCTATCCGTTTCGCATTAGTTGCAACAGTAGACTTGGTTCATAGTTTAAGAAAATTATAGATTAGGCTTAAGCTTATATTATAAAGTATTATTATTAAGAGATAGAAATAACATAAATGTAGTTTGGGTGGGGTTGGTAGGAAAGAGAAATAATAAAATATTTGTGAAAGTGGGGTTAGTCGGAGAGAGAAATTATAAAATAATGGTGGATCATTTCCAAATATAGTAGTGTTGCAACTAATATGAAACGGCCGAAAATGGAAAGTGTTGCAACTAATGCGAAATGAAGGGAGTAGTTAGTAAAAAAAAAAATAATAAAAAAATAGTATAAATGGGATTAATAAGAGAGAAAAGCAATAAAACATAAGTGAAAGTGAGGTTAGTGAGAGAGAGAATAATTAAATAATGTAAGGTTTTTATCAATTATGAATTATGGAGGTGTTGCAATTATTATGAAGGAAAAAAAAATTTTGTGGACCAGGTTCATAATAATATTATTATGGATCAACACGCACATTTGTTAGGTACATGGTAATTTTTATTATAAATAAATTAATATAAATATGTTATATCATCATTATCTTTTATGTGAATATATATATAGATATACTTCCTCCGTTCTTTTAATATCACATCACTTGCCTTTTAGGGAAGTTTCACAAATATTACATCACTTCCATTTTAGGACAAAAAATATCTATGTTCACACTGCAAATACCCAACATACCCTTACTTTTTATTTTATCTTTACATTACATGGACAATTTTGTATTTTTATGTTTCTCTCTCTTACTTTTTCCCACTATTAAATTTTGCCTCCAAAACCCCTATGATGCAATAAAAAAAGAACGGAGGAAGTTTATATTTTATCTTATACAATTCTCTAACCTTATACAACATAATTATATTAAATAAAAAAGAATTGATATATCTTTTACACAAATATTTGTATAGTTATAAAAAAACATTAATTTTGATTATTTTCTACATCAATATTTATATCTAACTTATCTTTCGTAACCCTTTATTCTGATCAAAATTTGTCAACTATATTTTTAGAACTCCTTTTTTTTATTATAAAAAACTAATTATAATGATTTAATAATGGTTTTGAAAATTACTGTACATGCACGGAAATTAACCTAGTTTAACACCTCACTCAGTAGTTAGTACTATTCGTTTTATTCACAGTTAAAATAAAAAATTTTACTCATGTTTTTCCTCTCCTTTTGATTTTATCTCCTTACCACTCTTTGAAACTCTCATAAAAATAATTATGAAAACCACTGTCTAGTAGAAAAATATTTAGGTTCTACAGTTCTATATACGATTGAGCTTTATTTGGGGCCCTTATAAGGACTTGTATTGATGTGCTGAATTGCTGATACATGATTTTGAGATATGATTTCCATATATAAATCTGAATTTTTTTTTTGAAACTATATAAATCTGAAATTGCAAGGCATGAAAATTGATCAAAAAGTATTATTTCAAGTTGTGATTAGGATTTTTGTTATTAAAAAAAAAAAAACAAAAAAAAAAGGGTTGTGATTAGGATTTGAGAGGCAGAAAATTATATCCTGCAATTTATCCTTTGACAAATCCTTATCCTATATGGACTCAAATTTCGTTCCATTAGGTACACACTCCACTTTTCGTTGTCATCATGTATGCAAAAAACGTTGTTACCATGGAAATGGCTGATGAGCAATCAAATTCGATGGTCCCTGGAAAGAAAATTCCTTATTTGTGCGTGGTGATACCCGGCGCGTTAGTATGTTTCCTAATTTTTGGACTAGCAATGTTCATTGTGGCTCATTATGCAAATCAAGTTCAAGATCGATATGGAAATCAAGATCAAGATCGATATAAATTCGAGGTTGATTCTTTTGAGGCGAAATTATCAACTATGATGATCTCGAATAATGTTACTAAGGAGCCCAAATTTGAGTTTGGATCTCAATGTAACTCTTTCCCTAGATAACAGGTTATCGTTGCTATTTGAGTCATTCTTGGTGTTAATTACTTACGAAAATAACAATTATGTCCTCTCCTCGATAAAGCTTAATTCTTTTTATCACGAAAATATTCTTAGCCAGAAGAAGATCATGCAGATTGGGATGGCAGTTCAAAATTATACAAAAAAGGAACACAACTTCGATTTGGAGTTCACCTTAAATATTGTAGGTCAATACCGTACCAATACACACTTTTCAAAGAGGCAAGTGCCGTTTCAAGATTTCTTGCAAAGGCATCAAAATTGTGTTACTTACTTCATCGTCAAATATCACCTCCGGATCTATGCTTGGTGGGCCAATCCTTTGCAAATAGGCTCAAAAACTAACTACCATTTAAAAATAAAAATAAAATAAAATAGGGTTTGTTTAACGAGAGTTTATCTTTGATTAATTTTTTTTTTTTTGTTTTTTTTTTAACACTTATTTTTAATTAGTTTGTTCAATAGAATGCTACAAGTATATTGTATTGGAAATATCCATTATGGCTTGATTTGTTTTACAACTAATGTGTGAGTCTATCCCTTTATGTTGAGCCTTTTTTTTTTTTTTTTAAAGTGTTTCATTTTTTTTAGTATTAATAATTTGAAATATAATGTTGAATATCGAAGAGAATATACAGAGTAATACCCGAAAACTACGTATAATGATGTTTTTTTTTTTTTTTACGAAGAGATGAGATTGAATAGCATTTCAAGAGTAACTGTCTTTTAACCAACTAAAATCATACACTACTGTCAATATGGACTCAAATTTCGTTGCAAAGTGGGATTGTTTTCTCTCGATCTTTCTCTCATTTTCCTTACTGCTGCTGCTGCTTGTGCTTGTGCGCTCTGATCTGAAGATTGGGAGGCCTCCTTGCTGCGATAAAGCAAATGTCAAGAAAGGCCTCTGGACTCCAGAAGAAGATGCTAAGATACTTGCATATGTATCTAACCATGGAGTCCGTAATTGGACTCAGGTTCCTAAGAAAGCAGGTAATATTCGGTGACTTTGCCTTTCCTGCACCCCCTCACTTAGTCACTCACTCAGGGAATGCTTCTTAGTAACTTAGGTTTAATATCGGAAAATAATATTTTATTGCAACACGTTATCAACTAATCATAGAGCTTTGCCTAGTTTCTAATTGTGAGAATGTGCTTTGTACATCAGGGTATCTTGGTGGACAAATGAGGGTTTTTCAGGGATATAGAGAAATAATATGGAGGACATTTTAACGAGGGAGCCCCGGTTCCTCATTATGAGAAACGCTTTTGTTTCTCATAATGACATTTTGGAAAATAATGTGATGTTTTTTACTGGTGGAACCGCGTATGTATCATGAGTGGGAGCCCTAGATCTTGACACATACCCCATGAGAAACAGAGAATTACCCCATTTTAATGTTTACTGGAGCTTTTTGCCACATATCATGTTATGAAAAGTGACTTAAATTAACATTAATTTATTATGGAATTCCAACAGTTCCCCTTAGGAGCTATGAGAGGGGTACATGACAGTGACGAGTAAAAATCTTTTTATTGTGTGTTATGCAGTAAATGGCTAATGTTGTTATATGTCATTTTATCTGCTCATGCTGTGTTTTTAAGATCTTAATAATATGCTTTGTTTTGCTTAGGTTTTTGATGTTCTCTTTTACTAATTATTAAGGATTTGTGCATAATAATGAATTAGTTGCTTTATAGGACTCAATAGATGCGGTAAGAGTTGCAGGCTTAGATGGAATAACTACCTGAGGCCTGACCTTAAGCATGAAGAATTCACAGAACAAGAAGAGTAGCTCATCATTCAGTACCATGCAGCTATAGGCAGCAGGTGCTTCTTCAGGATCTTTTCTTTGATTTTAGCATGCATTAAATGCACAACATTCTATCTCTTACTGATTCTTGTCCATAAATGTCAGAAACTTCATCCTTATTAAGTCTATTGGTCTGTTATTAAATTGGTACAGGTGGTCCTTAATTGCAAAACATCTAACAGGAAGAACAGGTAACGATGTGAAGAACTACTGGAACACCAAGCTGAAAAAGAAGCTTGCTAAAATGGGTATTGACCCTGTTACTCATAAACCCATCTCAAAAATCCTGTCTGATTATGAAAGCATCAGCTATCTCTCAAACAACCACCAAATCAGATCTCTTAACCAAAACATAACCAATTCTTTCTCCTCTCAATGTAAGATATTGCCATCTGATAATCCAGGAACTCGGTTCCAAGATGTTACATCTTTTAACCATTATATCTTAGAAGAAGTCTCGCCTTCATCCTCATCGTCCTCTACATCATCAATCTCAAATGGACAATCGAGCTCACACCTGCTGGTGCCAACTGCAGCCTACAGCTGGGGACAGAAAAACTTTGTTGACCCTCTTCTAGTTACTGACATTACAGAGGAAGAGCACAACTACGAGTTTTCTAGCAGCAGATTCACCGCCCCAAATCCTGGAGAAATCATCGCAATTCCAGCTCATTGGTGTAAACCACTCAAACAGCAAGGTTACAGATGACAAGTTTGGGATGCCAGACTGTAAAAGTGAAGCTAAGAATACTATAACAAGCAGCTGCTATGACTACGAGCCTTCGTC